AAAAAAATTCTTGATAAATATTTTACTACAATCAAGTACTAAAAAATAAAAAAATATTTTTTTTGTAAAATATTTTATATCCAAACAAACAAATGTTGAATGCAAAATAAAAACCAAATGAAGTGAAAGACAAATTAAATATAGCCGGATGATACTTCTTTCACTTTTAAAAGTGGAGAGTTCCGTTCCTATAAGGAAGTCAAAGTACCAAATTGATGTCTTAGAAGGAAAAAAAGTTTCGAATAATAGACTTAGCCTTCTAATTAGGAAGTCAAAGTACCAACTATGACTTCATGATTAAATCATATAATAAGTCTGAAATGCCTTATATGTCCTCATAAAAACAAACTATCCCAAGCAGCCTACCAACTTTTTCTGATTCACCGAAATAATTGGCCCTTTTTATGACGGTTTCTGTGTGCCCTATTTGGGCTTGTTTGGGTGGACCAGTACACTTCATTTTGTATTAGCTCTTGTCTACTCTCTGGATTTGCGTATTGCTCTTTTATTAATGAGTAGTGATTTATGGGTTGAATTCAACAATTATTGAATCTCATCTATTTGAGTAGGGATGGTGGCCTCACCACACAATGTGACTATGGTTGTTAAATTATGAAAACAAATGGATGGCACTTTTTATTTTTTTAAAGTAGCTATACCCCTGAGGCAAACGGATAATATTTAGTTGACATTCATAAATAGTATCTAATAAATTAAAAGTTCAGTGCATCTACTGCCAACTTCTATTTGGAAGGCTATAATTTCTTAACTGCTGTAATTTCTACTCTAGGCCTTATCACATGAGGTGATGTCATGTGGTGGGGTTCACCACCTTACTTACATAAATAAAATTTGATAATTATAAAATTCCGTGAACAAATCAATAGTTTTCTTTCAATATATTGCACAAGTTTTCAAAAATAGAAAATAAAATAAACAAATCCATCTGCCCAATTAAATCTCACTGAAGCCTTACTATTTATTTAAAGAGAAACTGAGACTCCAAGTGTGTGAAAATTGAAAATGGCCTTTTAGATTAAAATATAAAAGATTTGTTTGCATGTTCCATTAAATTGAATCACACTGTTTTTCCTAAACTCGGATTTTGACATAAAAACTAATAATCTTGAGTCGATTCATATTGCATGGATCAATTTGGTTAGTTTTAGCCAATCCAAAAAAGGTTTAAGATAATAAATTTATTCTTTTTCCTCGTAAATGACTACCACAATGTTTTTGGAGCTTAATTAATCGTGAATGAATCAATTTTGTTTGTTAGTATAATAGTATTAGACATATCAAAATCAGATTTTTAAAAATTAATTTTATGAATTGTTTTCAAGAAAAATAAAGATAACTTACAAGAAGTATAGCAAATTCTTTATTATTTGAACCTTTCATTTTTTGGTTTAATGGATAGAAGATAACATTCCACCATATGCCCCGTGATTGTATTTTGCTTTTTTTTTTTTTTGGTTTTTTGTCTAAGGGGATTATGGTATACAACAGATTTATCTAAATTGCCTGTTTTGCTTCTCTAATACGTCTAATGATATCTTATCTACCTCTCAAATGGATTGTGACTTGTAAGAGTTCAAGTTTTTAAAAGAGCAAAGTAGTTGCATGAGTGATGTTTGTATATTTTTTGCCAATTAAAATATTTCTATTGTGGTGACCTTGTGGGCAGGTGTGTGTGAACGTATGTAAGTACCACCAATAAACGTACTATCACATTAAGCAAGTTACATGTGCACAATCCCACATTACTTAGGCGTGGATGGGCAAGTGTTATATGTAAATTCAATACCCTTCTATGACATAACGCATTTTAAAATCGTGATGGTCGTAAATTTATCAGAACTCTGGAGTTAAACATGCTTAACTTGGAGTAGTACTAGAATGGGTGACCCCTTAGAAAATTTCTGGTCTGAGAGAGCAAAAAAACAGACAATATTATATCAAAATAGGGTGAAAGTCGTTATAAATGGTGCTAGAGCCTGACCCAGATGGAAGTGTGGCCAATGAGGAGGTTGGGCTCCAAAGGGGTAATTGTGGTGACCTTGTGAGCAGGTTTGTGTGAGCGTGTGTAGATAGCACCAGTAGGTTACTATATTGGGTGAGCTACATATGCACAATCCCATATTGCTTGGGTGTGAATGGGGCAAGTGCCTACTACATTGGGTGAGCTATAAGTGTACAATTCTACATCGTCTGGATGTGAATGAGAAAGTATTATATGTAAATTCAACACCCTTTTATAACATAACGCGTTTTAAAAGCCGTTATTATCGTGAACTCACCAGAACTCTAGAGTTAATCTTGTTTAACTTGGAGTTTTAGAAGAATAGGTGACTCCCTGATAAGTTGGTTGGTGCCATTGTACATCTTTACTGTTAAAAATTAAATTTTCATGGCCTAATAGGAGCAAATTTATGGTCAAGTTTCTTACTTATATTTTTATAAATTGAAACCTTAACACATCCGTCTCTATTTATTTATTTTATTTACTTTTAAGATCTATTATATTCTCTATGCCTCGCGGAAGCTGAAAGCTTTGGATATTAATTTGGTCTAAGAACAAATTATAATATGTCAAACGAATCTAATGGACAACCCTTGTGATTCACGTTGAGAAACTAGACATTCAAGAGTTTTTTTAATTTTATATCATAACATCAATAATATCTTTCTACAGGTGGTTTTTTTTTTTTTTTTTTTTTTCTTTTCTACCGGCCTTAATTAGGCTTTGTTTACATAAAAACAAAGCATGCGTTGATGTCTTTTTACATCTTAAATTTTTCTCTAATAGAAAATACTAGTATGTATGTAGAATGTAATAAGATTGTTTTATTTAAGATAATAAATTTATTCTTTTTCCTCGTAAATGACTCCCACAATGTTTTTGGAGCTTAATTAATCGTGAATGAATCAATTTTGTTGGTTAGTGTTAGACATTTCAAAATCGGATTTTAAATAATAAATTTTATAAATTGTTTTCAAGAAAACTAAAGATAACTTACAAGAAGTATAGCAAGTTCTTTATTATTTCAACCTTACATTTTCTGGTTTAATGGATAGAAGATAAACATTCCACCATATGCCCCGTGATTGTATTTTGTTTTTTTTGTTTTTTTTTTTGTTTTTTGTCGAAGGGTATTATAGAATGCAACAGATTCATCTAAATTACCTATTTTGCTTCTCTACTACGCCTGGTGGTCCGTTATTTAACTCTAAAATGGATTGTGACTTGTGAGAGTTTAAGTTTTTAAAAGAGCAAAGTAGGTTTACGAATAATGTTAGTATATTTTTTGCCAATAAAAATATTTCTATTGTAGCGATCTTGTGGATGGGTATGTGTGAACGTGTGCAGGTAACATCAGTAAATTTTCACATTGGGCGAGTTACAGGTACACAATCCCACATTATCTGAGTGTGGATGGGCAAGTACTATATGTAGATTCAATACCTTTTTATGACACAACGCATTTTAAAATCGTGATGGTCGTAAACTCACCAGAACTCCGGAATTAAGCATGCTTAACTTGAAGTAATACCTGGGTGACCCCCCCAGAAAGTCTTTGATCCAAGGGAGCAAAAAACAAATAATATTGTGTCTGAATAGGATCAGGATCATTACAAATGGTGTAAGAGCCTGACCCAACCGAAAGTGTGACCAATGAGGACGTTGGGCCCCAAAGGAGTAATTGTGGCAACTTTGTGGGAGGGTTTGTGTGAGCTTATGCAGGTAACACCAGTAGGTTATCAATTTGGGTAAACTACATGTGTACAATCACATATCGTCTGGGTGTAGATGGGACTAGTACCTACCACATTGAGTGAGTTATAGATGCATAATCTCACATCGCCTGGATATAAATGAGATAAGTGCTATATGTAGATTTAACACATTCCTATGACACAATGCGTTTTAAATCTGTTATTGTTGTGAACCTACCAAAATTTTGAAATTAATCGTAGTTAACTTGGAGTATTAACAAAATAGGTGCCATTGCACAACTTTACGCTTAAAAATTTATGTGTTAATGGCCGCGGAACAGGAGCAAGTATATAGTCAAGTTTCTTACATATATTTTTATAAATTGAAACCTTAACACATCTGTCTATTTATTTTTTTATTTACTTTTAAGATCTATTATATTCTCTATGCCTCGGAAGCTGAAAGCTTTGGATATTAATTTGGTCTAAAAAAAATTAGAATATGCCAAACGAATCTTATGGACAACCCTTGTGATTCACGTTGGCAAACTAGACATTCAAGAGTTTTTTGAATATTATATCAGAACATCAATAATATCTTTCATTTTTTTTTTCTTCACTCTCTACAGGCCTTAGTTAGGCTCTGTTTACATAAAAACAAAGCATGCGTCGATGTCTTTTTACATCTTAAATTTTTCTCTAATAGAAAATACTAGTATGCTTGTAGAATGTAATAAGATTGTTTTATTCAGTTATAAAAATTTGATTAGACCGTACCTTCATATAATAGAATTACTGCTATTAGTCAGCCATGGACCGGTCCACTAGGAAAGGGAAAGACCATATGAGTAATTTTCCTAACAGATCTCTTTCATGAAAAAATGCATGAGCTTTTATGTTTTAATCATTAGACGAAACAATTTTTTTTGAGACATGTAAAAAATAAAATTAATTATTTAATACATTAAAGTAAAAAATAAATAAAAGAGTTGCCGAGTCTTTCCACAAGACCGCTTAGAAGCATATAAATAAATAAATAAATATATATATATATATATAATAATAATAATAATAATAATAATAATAATAATTTATGTATATGTGGACAATAGGCATTATTTTCTTGCTCTTTAATGAACAATGGACACACCGACTTAATTACATTTAAGACGAAATAAAATAAAGCATTTAATGCCTCAGTCAGTCTAGCCACTTGTATTCTAGAAAATTGAGTGCTAGCTTCACATGCATGCATTATAAATACCCCTCCCTCACAACCCTATCATTACACCACACATTTCTTTTCTAACAACAGTACTTGTTTTCAACATGGCTATTGCTTTCAATTTAGAAAAGGCCTCACTGATCACAGTCATTCTGGCCGGTATCCTCGCCGGATATCTGCCTGAATCTGTGGTGGGTGACTGCTCATGTGCCTCATATCAGTGTTGTAGTTATCAGGGGGAGTGTGACACTGGCAATGCGTTTTGCGGCTTTGGTTGCCAAGCTGGTCCTTGCTATAAGAATGATATCGTGGTTGCTGATGTTGTGACGGAAGACTTCTTTAATGGCATCGTCAACCAAGCCGGTACAGGAAATTGTCCCGGAGTGTGCTTGTACACCAGAGAAGCATTTCTTGAAGCTGCCGATCTTTATCCTGAATTTGGCACCACTGGTCCTGATAATGCAGCTCGTAAATTTTCTTTGCATGAGATTGCAGCTTTCTTTGCACATGCAACATATGAAACTGATCGTAAGATTTCATTCCCTCTCTCTCTTTAAATTTAAATTTTTAGGTGAATATATAATATATATACACATATATATGTAACACAATAAACTTTAGGTAAGAATTCACACATGCTCTACATGTATCACAAGACAAATTAATCTTCTTGTGTATTAAATTTAGAGTACTACTTCAAGAGAGCTCCCTCATGACCATGAGCTATTCATATTAAATTATTAATTTGAAATTTTACAGATCTCAAAAACTAATTTTAATCCGATAGTAACATATAGAGAGCTCATTATTCTTTCCAGTGATAGTTTATATATGTGTGTGTGTGTGTGTGTGTGTGTGTGTTATTAGTGCACACATTTCTGTGTGTAAGTATACATCAAGTTTTGGACTTTCATGAGTTTATTACACACGTTTACATCTACAAATACCCTTTTTCTTTTCTTCTTCTTCTTCTTCTTTTTTTTTTTTTTTTTTGCATATCATAAAGTAATCAAAAGGTTGTAGTACATTTTGGTATAAGTGACCCCAATTATCGAAAAAAGTTAATAAAAATAAAAAATATATATATATATTTTGGTACAAGTGCTGTCATGGAATGATAGAAATATGTCCTTGTGCGCACGGCACAAAAGTTAATTAGAGAGCTTTGCTATAAATATTACAATAAATAAAATCTTTTGTTTGTGCAGATTTTTGCAATATCTTTGAGGTACCGGTTAGCAACTCTATGGACTACTGCAACACAAACTATATTCAACAGTATCCATTGGCACCCAAGAAGGGTTACTATGATGGGCTAATGAACCCTAACATTGCCTCAAACGTATCTGTCACATTCAAGACGGCCTTAGGGTATTGGATGACGAAGATACACATACCCAATGTCATCGAACTAGGGTTTGGGGAAACAATCAAAATCATCCGTCCGCAAGACTGTACTGGTCATAGCGACCATCCCACTGACGCCGTCATTGCTCTTGATGCGTATTTCAAGGAGTACTGCAAACAATTTGGTGTCGACCCTGACTATGATCTCGATTGCTAAGTCACATATTAAAGTTCTTCTAGCAGTATCTATCTATCTATTTATATCTATATCTATAGATCTATAAGGAAAATAAAGAGTAGTCTGAACTTAATTTGTTTAGGTTCCTATTGATACTTTCCGGTATCTTGGACCTGCTAATATAGTGTTGACTACTTGTATTAATGTTTGATCTATAAGGGATCAAAATAAATAATTTGAATCAATTAAAATGTGGTGGTGTTTGGTTCATCCTTTACCTTTGGCAATAAATGTTTTGCATTTTTACATTATTCAATATCCATAAAAGATATCTTTGGAGATGAAAATTAGAACTAAAACAGAACAGTTAAAACTTAAGAGCTTTGATTCCGAACTAAGCTTCTGGGCTTGTTTTGTTAGACGTACGACCTTTTGTACTAGCTAATTAATTGGGAGTACTAATTAATTAACAGAAACTATATGAAAAAGACTACCACGATATATGCTACTTCCTTGCAAATAGACAAACAATGGACCTAATCAGCCGATTCAGCCCAAATAACATTTTTCATCTGTAAAAAATAGTGACTTTTTGTTTTTTAAGTAACTATCATAGTGCACTTGGGAAGACTTAAACCCTCTACTTTCATACTGAAAGGAGAAAAGAATAGCATTAAGCTATAACAAGTCTCGATTTTCTGGCTTTCTTTACTCTATTATTTGGTTGGATTATTGAATGATTGAGTTGTGGAATAAGTTTTAACTGAACCTAAGATCTAAATTATTTAATCAGTGACCAATTAAGAGCATGTTAGTCAGTTATATGAATTCTCTCTTCTTCTTTTTTTAATTATTATAAGTCATCTCATTTTCATTGCATGATTTCATTCCATATTAATTTTGAGTACCCTCTTTGCCTCGTACTTTTTATGCAAATTAATATTCCTCTTTCCACGGATTCATCAATAGATCTTCTATGCATATATCATTACTATCTAAATTTACTTTCTATAATATTATCACTAAAAAGTACCACATCTACTTTCTCTATCACATTTTGGTTTGTAATACTTATCTTTTTTCTAGTCACTCCTATAATCCACCTTAAGATTTTTATTTCCTTTACATAAATACTTTATACATTCTTTTTAATAATTTATTTTATAAAATTTTTGTTTTAGATTGTATGGTATTCAGCTTATCACAAAAAACACCACTCACTCGCCTCTATTTTGCCCAACAGGGTATGCCAATTCTACTAATTATTAGGGATGAGACTAGCCCGAGTAACTCGATTCCTGCCCAAAAAATTTACGAAAATGGATAAGGTACTTGAGACTATGAGATGGGACTGGTTAAAAATTTAGAGTCTAAATTTATTTTGAACGGGATTTGGACAAAGGTTTTAGTAGCCCAAGATACCCGAAAAATCCAAAGAACCCAAAATATATAACTTTTACATTTAAAATTATATTATTTATAGTATCATCAATAACGGATTAATCATATGAGATCATATTATTGCTATAAGATACATACTATGCATAGATTTGTTGATTTTTGTTACACCTTTGGACAGTTTAGACAGATGAATATAACATTTATTTTCTTTTAATATTTATTTGTTAGTACGATATTAAAATTTGGGATGATCCAAGAAACCCATGAAACTCACGTGATATGTGGGCTTAAATGTGATGGGGTTTTCGAAATTTGGTCTTAGTGTGAGCTAAGGTGTTAGAACCTTAGGTTTGGTGTGGGCGAACTCCTTACCCCGCGCAATCCCACCCCTACTAATTATATCAACATCTATCTCCCCCATACTTCTGTATTAATGATCATCAGTACGTACTAATACTTATAAGCCAACATGCCTCATCTAAATTGATACATAATGATAAAAAAAAATAAATAAAAAAAAAAACACCAAGTTGACCTTTTTACGAAAATTTAGGTAAATATAGAATTTCTTCTTACAAACCCTAATTTTTAGAAGAATAATTTTTCTTGAAAGGTGGGGTTACTTTTTAACTTCAAACTTCTTCGCTTCCCAACTTCCATAACCGTTTATGGGACGGGATCCACTTAGCCTGCCGAAACAACCGACCTGCCTATTAAAACCATTTTTTTTTTTTTTTTTTCATTTATTTTATTCTCTTCTTTTACATTCTCTAAATCATTGTTGAAATTAATGAAAATCCATCCTAACTAATACCAAAATCATTGATGAAATTAATGAAAATCCATACTAACTAATATCACGGGAAGTTTTTGACAGAGGAGAATTATTCAATCAGCTGATTGCGTTGCTCAAGGATCATACAGATTATTGTAAGTTTCGTCCTCTTTGATCTTTTAGAAACTTTGGATTTGAATATAACGTATTTAATGTATATACATGTTGTATAAACAGGGCAATATTTGTGTTGCTGGGATATGTATAATTAGATTTTGTTATATCATGTTGGTGTAAAGTGTAAACAACTCCAATATAAAGGCCTTTGTTATTGTTTTTAATTCTTGAAAAAGATTACTTATTATCAATTTTAATTGCCATTTCTGTTTTTCAAGAATTGATTTGTTTATTTTTTTTCTCAAACAACTTAACAGATCGATTAATAAACATCAATTGAGTGGCTTCCATGACGACAACAACAATGGTGACACAGATAATAGCAGTGATTATGATGATGATAGTGATTAGTGCAGATGCATTGGACAGAAATGGTGTATTTGATCCCTGTTCAGATGCAAAGATTCAGAGATGGGATGGGTTTAGCTTTGGTCTTGCATATTCTTCAAGAGAATCGTTCTTTTTCAATCAGACTCAGCTATCACCTTGTGATCAACGGCTCTCTTTATCTGGTAGTAAAGCTCAACTCGCCGTCTATAGGCCAAAGGTTGATGAGATTACTCTCCTCACCATCGATAGCAGCACCTTCGATCCGGTATGCTATTTAATTTTTTTTTTTTTTTTTTTTTTCAATTTTGTCTTAGTTTGTGCCCAATGTGGTTATAGAATATTTTTTCTAGAGATATAGTATCTTAACAAGATTATACTCTTTAAACCATGCCCCAATTTTTGATTATTATGTTAGCATTTCCCCCTAGCTCGGCACACAAGAAAGAGGTGGCAGCTACATTCTCATGGCGGTTGGAGGCCGTGAGTGCCCATTCTCACTCTGATCTAGCTAGTTATGGTCAGATTGACTTTCTCCTTCCCTTTGTACATTAAAATACTCTCGTGACTTCAAAGATATCTTGAATAAGGTCATTTTTAAGAGAACTTTGTACTTGTGTCCTATGAAATTTACTTTTTTTTATTCAGTTTTGCGGTCAATCTTTCTTTTGGGGGTGTGTGTGTTATTGGTAGCTGATTGTGATGCACACATCAGATCCCACATATATAGTATATTGGTTGACAGATGATATGATGAATTGCAGCATAAACCAATCAATGCACTATTAAAGAAGATTTTGAAAGAAAGTGTGATGTTCCAACATAGAATAGGGCAAGACCAAAATTAACATGAGATGATAGTAAGTAATAAAAAAAGAAAAAAGAAAAAAAGCAAAAAAAAAAAAAAAAAAAAAAAAAAAAAAAAAAAAAAGAGAAAATTTGATTTGATTTTACTGAGGTTATGGCCCAACTTAACTCTCGTTAGTTTCCCTATAGAATGTCTTATTCTTCGTTAGCCCAGGGAATGATTTTTTGCATTCCATCTTTACCTTTGCCTCGTCACCAAATCGTGGGATAAGGGAAAAAAAATAAGAATATCATCTTTAAATATCTTTAAATCCCCAGCAAAAAGATAAAAATAATTTAAATAAAAACAATAATATATCTTTGAAACTGTGTATTCCAGTACCTTTTTTTAATTCTTTCCTCCAAGGCATGGAGAGAGCCAGTTTAGAAGGTGCTTACAGGAGAACCAAATACGTTTTTCCAAGAATGAGTTCTTCAAAACGCGGACTAGTGGACTAATTCTGCTTAGAGTCAGAATAAAAGATGGAGGCACTACTCTAAAATCTTTTCTCATGTAAAATGATAATATTCAACACCCTTTATTATGCAAAGTAAACTCGTGAGCAACACATCGGTTATAAATTTGTTCCGCATTCCAGAGTATTTGTTTCTTAAAGAAGCATAATTCTTGAAGAAATTTGGCTGCTGAGCTTTTTTAATTAGCTTTTCTGACACCATGATATAATTAGCCTTTCTGACACCATGATATGTAGTATATAAAAGGCATAGAAGTGAATGCACGGTTCTCTGACTTTTTACAGTAACAAATGTGGTAGTGGTCATAACATCTATCGTTTTTGTTGTTCTTGATTTTGGGGAACAATTTCCATTCACCGTAGCAACACACACTTTATGTTTGATTGGCAGTAACACAATTTGAATAAATTGAAATGAATGATTCAGTTTCGTGACCTCTGTCAATTTCCAATTTCAGAATTTGTCTGGAGGGTATATGGTTGCATTTGCTGGACGGCAATATGCAGCAAGATCACTGCCAGTGTTAGTTGCTGATAATAGTAACACCATAACAAGTTTCACTCTTGTAATACCACTGAGCTTGGGCTTCTTTAACTTTCTTCAGAAAACCAACAAAGAAAATTTTCTGTTACACTACATATCATTGACCTTGTAATTTTTTTTATTTTTTCTGACAGGTCCTTGAATTCCAAAAGGGTACTCTACAAAACTTGTATTGGAAGAAATTTGGGTGCAAAAAGTGCTCTGGGGAGCCCTTTATATGTTTGAACAACCAAGATTGTGCAATACGAACCTCGAAGTGTAAGAGCAGTGGTGGATCTGTTGACTGCAGCTTTAGCATACAGCTCGCTTTCTCAGGTACAGACAAGAACCACAATGTGCTGAATTCATGGTATGAGGTGGAAAAACTTCGGCAATACTCCCTCTATGCCCTGTTTTCTGAATTTCGTGATTCTCTCCCTGGCTTTAAAAATCTTTTCTAAGCCTGTATAATAGCTCTATTAAAATGGACTGTGGCTGTTAAAGAAGCTCTCGTATTACTTAACACTTTATTTAATTAGGCCAGTGTGTATTTCCTGTGCAATGCAACATAGCGCACTTTATCACACAAGAAAATAATGTGATTCTCTTCATGTGTGGTAGTGACGAATACTATTAAATGACAGTTATGTGCTTTTAGGATCAAAGTTCCGATTCCTCTGCTTTTATATATTTGATAAAATTGGAACGGTTTAGCATATTTGTTTTCACCACAGAAGTGTACTAACACAATTGATTCAAATGCTTCTGGGAATGTTGGCCTCTAAGGAGGTCCTTTATATGCTAAATGGACTTCGATTTAAGACCAAATATGATTATTGGAAATCTCATGTTGGCCAGTAGTTCAATATTGAAGCATTTTGATAGGTCTTCTGGTTCAAAAACTGCAAGCACCTGTTTCTCTGTGTCCAATGCTGAAAGCACCTGTTTCTCTGTGTCCAATGCTGAAAGCATATGTTTCTCTCCCTCTACATATATGTATATATTTGTGCGCACGAGAGCATATATGCAACTGTGTGCACGTCTGTCTCTGCATGCTTGCTCATCCTCCCAAAATGTTGTCACTTGCAAACATGTTCATTTACGATTTTTTTTTTTTGTTCCATTCTCAATTTTGGACCACATGCATGGTGAAGGAATCAGGAGACTTCAAGAAATACAACTGGTCATGATCCTGTGCAAGTGTGGTATTTTTTCACACCAACATGTTCATGCTTAGTATGTTTGAAAACTTACTAATTTCTCCTTTTGACAAGGTGACTCACTTAGGGCCCGTTTACTAACGCTTTCACTTTTTTATTTTTACTTTCTTCAAAAGTAAAATTATACTTTTCATTCCTAAAAATGAAATATAAAGTAAAATTATGTTTATTAACTTTTTATGCTTTTTAATATTTTCAAAGTAAAAAATTAGAAACTAAGTTTAATAATTATAATTTTGATTTTGCTTTCTATATATATATATATATATATATATCAGTCTCTGTCATCGCCCCACTCATCACAGACCCACCTCACCCCAACCACATCTCAGTCTCTCTCATCACCCTCCACTTCCGTCTCTCTCTCTCACTTCACCCCACCCCACAAGACACCAAAACTTGGTTCTGTCTCTCTCACCTCCCCTTAATTTTAATTTTGCTTTCCCTGCTATCTCTCTCTCATTTTATTTTATTTTTTCCCGGATCTCTGCAACTTCCGGCAAGTTCTGCAGATTCCGGCGAGCCCTCCGATCACCACTTCCGGCCACGGTTTAACTGGAATTCTCTGGAGTTTATCCCAAAGTCTCTCTCTCTCTCATTTTATTTTATTTTATTTTATTTTTTTTCCGGATCTCTGCAACTTCCGGCGAGTTTCTGCAGATTTCGGCGAGCCCTTCGATCACCACTTCCGGCCACGGTTTAGCTGGAATTCTCTAGAGTTCATCCCAAAGTCTCTCAATCTCATTTTATTTTATTTATTTATTTTTTTTTTCCGCATCTCTGCAACTTTCGGCAAGTTTCTGCAAATTCCAGCGAGCCCTCCGATCACCACTTCCGGCCACGGTTTTGCTGGAATTCTCTGGAGTTCATCCCAAAGTCTCTCTCTTCATTCCATTTATTAGGGTTTCAAGATCTGACCTCACAAAACTTATGAGAGAGGAGAGAAATGGTTGTGACAGTGGCTATGGTGGGGAGGCCATGGTCGGGGACGCAGCGTGGACCGATTGGTGATAATAATTTTGGAGTTTTTTGTTTTTTTTTTTTTTTTTTTTTTTTTTTTTTACGCTACAGTAGAGAAAACACTTCTTGTGAGTAGTGTAGAAGGTAGGGAAAGTAACAAATCCCCACTTTCTCTTTCTTTCATTAAATTTGAAAGTACTTTCTAACAAATAAAAAGTAAAATTATATTACTAAACATAATTTTCACTTTTACTTCATAATTTTAGAAATTGGTAGTAGAAATCGAAAAGTAAAAGTGTTACTAAACAGGCCCTTATTAACTCAATTTATTCATAAGTTAAATATATTGGTTATTATTTTTTCCCAAAAATACGCCTATTTGCTAATGGGAATTTGAACTTTCACCTCACTTTTGTGAGGTTGGAGATATACCAGCAAATTACAAGTTACAACATATTAGTGGAGCTATTGACGGTAGTGTACATTTGGCATTGTCAAACAGTATAGACCATTTTTTTTTTTTTTTTTTTTCCCATAAATAAAATAGATCGAAATAGAATGTAGGAAAAATAGAGAGACACGAGGGCTAAGGAGTACTATACATGGCGTTTGTCTGGCATGCGCAGAATTGGGTTCTAGAGTTGCGTAGTCTTCTAAATATCTAGATATTTTAGAAGAGTTTTCTAGATAGTAGAGTTTAAGTCATGCATATAAACTCTATATAAAGAGTGATTTGTAACCAAATGAATGTACAGCAAGTAGAGGGTGTGAGTGCTACACTCAAGTAACAAGGCAAAAACTCTGTATCCCAATACTAGAAATAGAAACAGCAATATCCTATCATACGAAATGGAAACTGAAGTGTCAAAAGTTTAGTTTTAATACAAATATTCATCGGGGCTTAATTTCAATATATTAACAGTAGCCAAACTTATTAGGTTCATTGATGTTATGTAAACAATTAATAAAAATTATGAATGGCTGAGAATATTTTTATAAAGATTCTTTTAATTTTTTTTTTTTTATTTTTAGAAAAAAAATTTAAAGTATTTTTGTTTTCTCATTAAAATTCTCACGTCTGCATGAATGTGAAACTTTTTAAATTTGACCACTGAATCTTCAATATTAATTATTTGCTAGAGTTACAACTTACAAGAGCCCTTCTCAATAATTTAAGCAGCACGGTATTGGTAAGGAATTTTGAGTTGCCATAAATTTCAATATTTAATTAAATATTAATAGCCCATCCACCCATGGAAGAAATTGTCCCACTTTGTTTATGGAATTCAAGATTTCACTATTATTATTATCATTATTTTTTTTTTGGATGGTAGAGTAAACTTACACATTTATGCCTCTACTTGTGATGTTTCTACATTTTTATTTTTCCAATAATTCATGGAGACAAGGGTATTTTTGTCTTTTCGCATGTTTGTGTTCGGGATTGTGGTTGGGTCCATTTGCATTGTGCATTTTTAATTATGGGGATTAAATAGTATTTGCGTGTCGTTCACTTGTGTGTGTGTGGTATAAGAATTGAAGTAAAAGAAAAAGGGAAAAGAAAAGAAAATCTGGTGGGACCCACCACTCACACTTAAAATGGTCTTGAGACCACACTTCTTGCTCCACACATTCTCTCTCTCCCGTAGCTTCTCTCTCTCTCTCGTTTTCCTTTTCTTTTTCTTTCCACTTGAAAGGCAATCTTTGAGCTTTGATTATTCTCTCAATTCTTGGCGGATTAAGGTGCCATTTGAGGCAAAACGAAGCCCACTACGAGCTCTACGCACTCATACCAACAATTTCAGTTTTAAGCCTTCCTTTGGAGTTGGAAATTGAGACCCATCTTTAGGGTTTTGGTGCAAACTTGAGGTAGGGGCCCTTAATCCACTTCCTTCTTGTTCCATTGTGAGTTATATCTCCTTTGTGTGATAAACATGCTTAATTTGAGAGTTAATTGTTTCAATATTGTGTAATTGATGTCTAGAGAAATTCATGATTTTGATTATGATTTGTTCTATGTGAAAAGCATGTTGTGGTGATAGTTTTGTTGTATTTAATGTGTTGATGACTCAATTGATGATGTTGAATATGATATATGCTTAGTTGTGAAGTAATTATAAAATGTAAAACTTCTACATGCCATAATATTGTAAGCTTGAGACACATATACATGTACACGCCATTGGGTTGCATGAAATAGGATAAATCAGTTTTTGAATTGAAAACGGAAATTTTGGGAGAAAAGTTTTTGTGAAATGGTTTTGATAAACTCGGTCGCTGCGGGGTTACCAACGGGTCGGAGGTTAATATAGCCTAGAGGAGATTAGGGAGTCGCCCTAGCGTGGTTGAGCTAGTTGGGCCCCATAATGACGCCGCGGGGTTACCAAGGGTCAAGGACACTAGCCAATCCTCCTCTCGTGTCGCGGCGGGGTTACCAAAGGGCGTGCTGTATTAACAGTTGGAAAGTATGGTTTTGATAAATGAAAAATGGGGAGTGACATATCATGCATTGCATCTCATTGCATTGCATTGTTTACACTTGGAATTGACATTGAAGTTGTTTTAACCCTACATTGCATGATCTCCATTTCCCATTGGCCTATGCTTTGATTGGATTCACAAGGACACAAGATGTATGTCTTAAGTGTCACCTACTGAGCATATAGCTCACCCTTCTATATATTATTTTTTTTTCAGGTCTTGGAAAAGAATCGACAGATGCTAATCCACCTCAAAATGAAAGTTGTTAGAAGATAATTTTTGCTATCTTGTATTTAGCTATTTCACGTGTAATTATAGTTTTGGGAATGTAATTAAGTTTGTGAATGATCCTTGAGAAAATGTAATTAAGTATTACTCACTCAAAATCAGTTTTGTGTATTCTAAGTAACCTGTGGTAGTTCATGTTGTTGATGGTTATTGTATTTTTATTTAATGTTAAAATGTAATTATTATTATTTTTTTTGTACACTAAATCCTCTAGTGTATTTTAGTGACGTATGGTAAATTACGTTAATAACGTGGTTGTTGTACTAGAATTTATTGTTGAAATGTATTAATTTTGCACGTAAGTGTTGTGACATGGGTGGTTGATCGATCAAAAGTTGGAATACAGAGTCACACAGGACAGTGGAAAGTGGGAGTGAAGATTTTCTTGAACCGGTCGACGTATAACCCAAACCGGTCGACCGGTATCTTCACAGTGTGTTCAAACCAGTCAACCGGTATCCTAAACCAGTCGATCGATATCATGGCAGTGGGTTTTTCCACTGTTCATATCCCAAACCAGTCGACGTATAAGGAA